AAGATTAAACACATAAGGCCGGAACAGTTTAAAGCAGGAAGAATAATCAATTGAAAGCACTTGGTAAGTGTTCTACGGAACACAGGAGAAATCATGAAAAACGAAGGTGTGAAAAGCTTCAAAATCGATTCTTCCAATGAATTTAGGCGACTGCAAAACCTCAGGAACAATCGATCAAGTCAAATCTATAAAGTCTTAATCCGGATTATTCTCATCCATGATTTGGAGGAGTTCGATTGCACAGCAAGTTGGGAACAAGCCGGTTTTCGAACCGCGTTTTCTGCCATCCGCCATATGCATGTCATCCCAGCAGGTGATGGAAATGTGCAATGAATACCAGATGTCACTCCGTTTTGATTTAAATCACTAAAGGAAGGCATTTGATGCGGTGGAATTCGCGGCAGTGCCATTCGCATGACCGAAAATGCCATGAACCATATTTACGGTATTCTGATCGATATTTGAGCACCGGTTGCACGACTGATACCAAGCTATTCAGAGAATTATGTCGGATCAGTAGCCGTCGAGAAGTGAGCTGAGGAGAGACAGTTTCAACCTCGCTCCTCGCTGCGGCTATGAATTCACTCGCCAACTGGCCAAGCAGGTGCAACGGTATCAATATTAATAAAGAGCGGTTAACGCACTGGTTATTTGCGGACCACTGCGTTGGCTTTCGTACTTGACCGGAAGGAGTTCCAAGAGAATTGGAATCTCTCATTGTTACCTTAGAGGCTAATCTTTCCAAGATGAAATGGTTGAAACATACATTCTATGACCATCAAGTGGATCGCTTAAACTACTTTGATCGGTAAATCATCCGATAAAAGAAGACGACATGGGTCAACTTTAACTATATTAAAGTATCATTATGATATTATTAAGGTACGGATGAAAAGAACAAACTTATAGTCAGGTGAAGAGCTATGGAGCGACAAATGTGCAAGGCGTCCTGCTCTGGGATGGCATTTTGAGTGGCTAAATTCGACAACTGACAGGAATAACAGACGACGTAATTTGTGCCTTCTACGATGCCAATGGAATATGAGCCGGTCATGTGGCTCAGTTGTCAAACGACTGAAGAACGTCAGGAGTCGCTAAGTCGGTCGTCCTAACATATGCTTGGACCATTTGACGATCAGATTACCTTTTGGCACAGAAACGGGAAAATAACGGATTTGCAATGACGCTTCCGTCTGGAACATCTAAAGCAAGGTGACGTGTATCGCAGATGCAGACTTAGATAAATACCTTTCATTAGACGGAAAGATGTAATCCATGTTTATTTTCAATACGAAATGAAGCGCTAGGAAATAGTTTCATTTCACTGAAAAGAGGAAAGCAATTCTTCCACTGATGTCTCTGAGTGTGGAAAAGATGAAATTTTGAGGTCAGGGGCCAATCATTACTCACACCATTTTCAAGTGGTATATTTGGATGATGTGCAATAAATCTGTATATGATGGAGTCATCCCTGTGTAAAATGCCGTTGATTATTACATGCACAATCTTGAGACACCATGAGTAAGTAATAATTCCAGTACGTGTATGTTTTATATCGAAATTAGTCATGCTATTCAGCCATCGTTTGCTTCTAGGTGCTTTCGAAGTCGCTTTAATCAGGATGTCATCGCTTTATGATTTTACGAATGACAGCATACTGTACGGAGGTGTATACGTACCAGTGCAATTTTTCGTTTCGGAGGATCAGATGGAACAGCGGTTCATCCATAACATCTTCAGTCTGGTCAGAGAGTTGAGCAGCTATTGCCTGACAGAAGCCGAAGTAGCATTGTTCAGTGCCGTAGTGCTCATGTCACCAGGTAAGAAAGATTTGACCGATTTGACTGTCCAGCAGGCTTGTCAAGATAGATCATTTTAGGCCGGAGCGGTATTCGCAACCAGTCAGGAATTCGTGAGATGCATGAACTATTTTTTGACTGTCTCATCACAGAGCTGAGAACGAATCACGCCGTGGACATCACTCTCATGCCTAGACTTACATCTATTCTGAGTACCCTTCAAGAGCTGGCAGCCCAGCATATCGTCGTACTGGCGAAATTCAAGAAGCTGGCACTCGTTGAGTTACCACCCCTGTACAAAGAGCTATTCACAATCGACGGCTGAACGTGTACATTTCGCAGAATCGGATAATAACTTGTCCAACGCCTTGCATCGCCCTGACGAACGAACAGAACTGCGAAGCACGTGTTCAAAATCCAACGTGCTATTACAGAAATGAATTATGACCTCTGCGCCTAATTGGCGCCTAATTCGAATTAACCAATAAGTCTTACTCGCCGACGATGCCGATGTGATTCCCGCGTTGTGCTTGTGCACAAGCGGTGTCTATCTTGAGGTCGTTCTGTACAGTCAGGCGCATTTTTTTCGCGTTTTCATTTTACCGCCTCTCGTGATTGGTCGTATCATATAAATGACTTGAACGTTCAACTTAGACTTGCCAGCATATTCATTCATTCATTCATTCGTTCATTCATGAAACGAGATTGTTCGTTAAACATTCGATCGATTTTGTTTTTCTAAACTGGCGATTAACTGACTTTGTAAATTCTGGGTATTCGCCTACCGATACTGTAATAAAGTTTTTACATTATTCCTATTGTCTGCCCGCTTCACTTTTTCCATCACAAAATAAAGCTGATGGTGGCAAAGAGAATTATAGCAATAAAAGCTAAAAATCTTTGCAACAACTTTTCACTCTGTATGAATTTGTCAATCTGTCATGAAACTGATAGATTTTCGCAGCAGACAAAAACCAGTAATTAAGCCAGTGTATTTTTCCATGGGCTATTATGAAAAAAGTAAATTTTTTCTCGTTTGTGGCATCAGTCTCTATTCCTTACTGCGATCGATCATTTGATTCCCCATAAATTTCCTTTCCATGCAGGCTCTGAATTTGTTCCTAATTTGGGTCTCAACTCATTTGTCTTTGTATCGGCACCTACATGCATTCTGATCTCTGAATAACTCGGCTATCTGAGTCGATTTTCAAGAAGCTTCGAAAACGTTTTCTATTCTGCTATGTTCATCGTTCGTTGTTTTTTGCAAACTTGGCCAGGAGAGAAATTCCAGCATTCAAGTTCACATGTTTTCATGCGTAACAGTCTGTTGCACCTTAACAGAATCTTCATGTACGTTAGTTAATCTTTTTATGTTGGGCTACAAAATGTTTTGCGTGCTTTGGTGATCATTGAATACCAGCATAAAACACGGTTTATTAATGCACACCAAAAAACATGCTAGTCTAAGAGCAAACACCGAGATTCCGTCTCATATCTCATATGACTTTATCAAGGAAGGCAGGGGGTTGGAAAAGTTCGAGTGGTCTTTCATGTTGATCGCAGCGGTTGGTATACTGTTAGGTAAGAGATGATTTTTCAGTCCATACCGCTGGTTAATAGTTCCTGGGCGAAAGGCACATGCAGGCGTTGTATAGTGCTTTGTTCTGCCGAGTCGCAGGACTGAATGATTCAGCATCAACGTCATAATCTGTCCTTATGGGCCGGTATGTCAAATGACCATCAGCAGAGATGACGTAGTATGCCGCTAAATATGGTCTTAGATGAAACATCGCAATTAGGACTGTGTAATTATTTATTCCTCTGTGCACCTGCATAGCCACTGCCTTTCATTGAAAACACCGATGCACTGTGTACATTGGTTGGCGGGAAAGGTGGGCGTGTCCTTGCTGTGTTGCGCGCTGCTCACTTCCAGAGGATTTTTCTCATTGATCCTTACTCTGCATGTGGCCAGGCTTTGCTTTCTCTTTCTTGACCGGGTTTCGTTAAACGTGTCGCTTACGTTCGTCTATGATCATCCCGCATCTCAATGTTGACAGATGGGTCTTTGTTCTCTATGCATCTGTGGTCTTTGCTTTTCCTACGTTGTATTCTCGCAGTTAAATGATAATTTTCGAATCCTTTCAGAGAGTTGCCACGTTCAGATATACTTAATAGCGTATTACATATTTTAGATTTTTTATGTGCGTATGTATAGTGCTAGTAAGATATTTAAAGTTGGATATTCTTTATAACTTTGAATAATGATTTTATGATCATTCAGAATATGACTACGGACATTATTGGTGTCATATGCTGATTTGAAGGGACGTATTCTATGATTTAGGATATTAATAACGAATTTAACTGGATAATTATTGTTGCTGCATAAGAAGAACTAACGATGCTTCATCCTTTCTTTAAAAAAATCTTTACTACACCTTCAGGACAGGGCTCTGCCTAATTTAGCTGCAATTACAGACAGCTTATTATTTAAATGACTATGTGAGTTGAAGCAGGTAGGTACCAGATTTAGATAGTTTACGTTAAGCTTTAGTTTTGTAGCAATTACGTGAGCTAATTATTCAAACATCGAAAAAAGGTGAATTAAAGCATCTTTTCTCTTTCATGGAGGCAATGATTCATTCGATGTTTTGATGGAATAAATTACTAAGCAAATCTAATGCCGTATTTTCATCACCACTGTCACAGACAGCTAAAATATCACTGATATTTTTGAAATAGCTTCTGAAAAACTTTGCAAAAAAGTTCTGGATTGGTGTGCGGGGCCACATCTTCAAAGTGCTCCATAATGTAGTCCATGAGAATATGGGAAAGTTTTTTGCCCTTAAGTGCCCTTTCCGCCTGCTTGAAAAAACCATCATCGAAGGATAAATAGCCTCTACCATGCAGAACGTCATCAACCATATGATAAAAACTGTTGAGAAATTAGTACGTTGCTAAAGGGAATTGTCTCTTTGACGAAGCTTACCAATTATTTTCGAAGCACAGTAAAGGGGAATATTAGTAAATAAGTGCTCAAGGTCGTAATAAACAACAACGCTTTTTTCACAAGCCCTATTCTGTTTCACTACCTTGAAAACTTGTGGGAGTTTTTTGGTACAAGAAGGGTTTTTTCCAATTGAAGATTTGAGTATTTTAGCTGTCAATTTCGAAAATTCTGCAACAAAGGCAGCTTAAAACTGTAATACCTTAGTATAATTCATCAGATGGTGTCCAAATTCTCTGCTTTTCTTGCACTGGCTCATCAATTTTAATTAAAAAATCAGCTGACTCTATGTAAAGGTTACATATGGCTTTTATACGTGGATTAATAGGGAGCTGGCTCTCTACCTACTGTGCATCAGTCTTTATCAGTGCTCAGATATTTTTATTCTGAACGATTCAACCATGATATATGCCGTATCCGGACGCTTTTACCGCAAATACCATTCTTCGGTTCTTCCAGGCAATCTGTTGCCTCCAGCCCAGGAATTCGAGTATCCTGTTTATATCCATCAAAAATGGGTAATTCGACGGTGCATTAAGAAATCCGTGGAGAAAGCTTGGCTCAAATTGACAGAAATGAACAGCGCATTTTGCAAGAACAGGATTGGTATCAAGTGAAAGAGAAAGATGCGCAGGCTGATAGTAAGACCGGATGTGCGTAGTGAAATGTTTAACTAACCTGAAGCAATGCGAATAACAGCTGAACTGCGTAGAAATATGAATTCCAAGATGAATATGTGGCATCAGTAAAACACCTTCTATATGGAACACCTTCTCAAGGACTCTACATGTACGACCAATTTCAGGAAAGCTTATTGAAAGCAACTGTGTTCTTTCGCCACGTAGTACAAAATTCAGAAGAATTAGTTGAAAATGTGGCCCAAGGTTTGATATTGCTAGGGCAAAAAACCAAAGAGAGATGTCGTATTGAAAGATATGATTCTGTGGCGAGTCATTGAAGTTTGACAAAAAACCATAAGATGAGGAAAAAGAATATTATTCTTTGGTTCATGTACATTGACAGTTGAAATTTAATATTAATCTTCATTTTTAATCTTTGAAAAAAACGCTTATTTTTGGCAATTAAAATCAAATTCTCTAAAGTAAACTCATAGTATCTAATCCACAACGCTGTGAGAACGTCACGTGTGAGATTCTTTACGTTCAAGTAAAACATGCATAGTCGTCGCTATTTCGTCAACTGAAAAAAAATCTAGGCTTTGATTAAAGTCTTGAAACAACGGTTATACGTTATAAAAGATTAAACAAGAAGTTAAAGCTCCTGGTTAATTATCATAAATTTAATGCTGATAAGTTATAAGGTTGAATCTGTAATACTGAGAAAAGTACATTCAATGAACCATACATTCCTTTGATGCCATAAAAACATGACGAATACCGGTGACTGACTTTGTCACTAGATTATGTGTAATGCAAGTGTTGTAATGTTGCAGTTTAGCGACCAAGATATGGAAATAAATGGCCTGCACTGCCCTTACAGATATCAGCTGATGATTTTGAGCAAAGGTACTTATTGCATTATGAAATTTCAGTAATAACGCACGTGCTTTTGAGGTTGGTGCCGCAGTAAAAAATTAGTTCCAGGGTCCTAAATTTGGAGCAGACTAAATCATCTTTATTAGCTGCAAATGTGGTTATGTCACATTGTGCTTTATCGCAGCCAGCCGAGAAAAGGATAACAAGTACTTGACCTGATAACTGAATTGTTTTGGACAGGATTGATATCTGACTGTAATGCTAGGGTATCTGAGAGATGCCGCCACGATTTCTGACAGTTCGCCCTGCGGCTACAGTTGACCCTAATCTGCATAGTACCTCGACCGGGCAGGTATTTCGCGATGAATCGCCAAATCTGTAACTCTTTGTGTTGCCACAGCGCAGGAAGCTTTGCCACCCGCTCAGAGATCCGAAACTTTGGAAGAGGAATTGGCTTTTAAAATTTGGACGGATTTTCTCATGAGTAAAACGTAACTTGACGTGCTGCTGAGTTAATCTACGGTTCTGACGTTCTTTGGAACCTGAAATTGGTTCGAACGCGCTACCGATCAACTATGTGCTCAATATGAAAGTATTGTGCATTTCATTGAAAGGTTAACGTAGAACTGGCATGGACATGTGAACTGTGAATTATCTAATATCTTACAAAAACTCAGTACGAACGGTCAACGATAATTTGAGAAAAACCAAACAGATGTGAAACTGCGCATCATAAGTACTCATAGAGGCGAGCTGATGCTGACGAGGCAAAAATGAGGATAATAAAATAGCATTTAATACTGCTTAACTCTTTACTTAATT